CATTTGTACAGCTATATTCCTGAGTATTACAGATTATCATCACCCATGTTTCTTATACCTATGAGACTCATTAGACATAGATGTGTGATCTTCAAACACTTCACAGACCTGCAGAACATGGCATTTAAATGGTTTAATATTAGTGCTCCATTGACATGAGACACAGTAGCTCCTAACAGCACTGAACTATCCCTGAGAGTATGTTGGGCACTAATGTCACTCTTTCTGGAGTCCATTCTCTCTTCTGCTAATGGTCTCTTGGGCAAATAACTGCCCCCATCTCAACTGCTGACTTTGGACATGCTGTCCTACTGTGCTTGCAGGAGACAAACACAGAAGACTGCTGAACCTTGCCATGTCAGGTAAGACATTCTTTAGTCAGTCAGAAACTCTAGGCCTTAGCCAAAGCTGGTTGCCCCTACGCTGCTGTGAGACTTAAGTGAGTGTCCAGGTAGCCTGATATTTCTCTCTTCCCTGCACCTTTTGGAAGTTTGTTGCCTGCACTTCCTGCCTACCCTAGTTTTGCTATCCTCCTTCTCAGGTCTTTGATGAGGTTGAAGATTAGACTTTAATAATTATTGTTCTCTCTTCCTATCTCTTCCTAGATAGAAATATTAGGTACAAGACTTAAGCTTTCCAGCTTAGGACAACTCTATAGTGATCTCTGTTGTGCCTTCACCCTAGGATTGGATAGGATCTCTTCCCATTTTGCTCTGTTACTTCATTGCAGTCGGGTTAAGTGTGTGTGTTCTTACATTCCCTTCTTCTAGAGCACACTTGATATTTGCTATATTTGTATATACTTTTGTATCAAGCCTAATCTTTTTCTTTAAGGGGAATTATAGTGAGGGATCCACTCAGCCGCACCTGTGACCCTGACCATGCCCACTTGGGCGTGGTCACAGGTGCGCAGGAGCGTGTGGTATTTGGTCTGGGGTCCAGGACTGGCTTGCTCTCTCTTGGTTCCTGTTGGGTACTGGAGAGCAGCCTGGGTGTGGATCCTTGGAGCGGGAACTTGTGGGTCATTGGTTTCTTATGTAAGTGACTTCTGCCAGAATAAAATGTATAACCCATATTTTATCCTCGTCCTGTGCATCTTAATCTGTACAGCATTACTGGGCTGTTAGGCCCTCAGCCCACCTAGTGAGGCAAGACCTAGACATTTCCTAAAACACTGGAGTCCCAAGAGTGATTTTGAGAAATTGGCTGACACAGGTCTCACTATTAATACTTTGTTATTGGAGCTGACATTTATTCATGTGTCTATATGCTATATATTTATATAGCCTTTTTATATGTACAATCACATATTTAAATTTATTATTATTGTATGCATGTGTATGCTATATATTGTACATGGCCTTTCATATGAACAATCATATGTTTAAATTTATTATTATTATATGCATATGGATGTGTGTGATGTATATGAGTAGGTTTGTGTGCCATTGTGCATGTATGGACGTCATAGGACAACTGTAGGTTTCATTCTCTCTTTCCATGGGTTCAGTTGAACTCAGGTGGAGACAGAAAGATCAGGAGCTGAAGTCTACCCTTGACTGCATAGGTAAGGAGGCCAACCCGGGTCACCTGACACCCTATTGAGAAATCATCAACGCTATTGCTATCAACCCCCCACTACTGTGCCACCCCCACCCCCCAAAAAAATTCCAAGCAATACATCAGAGCTTCCAGGGATGCCAGAGTTAGTTCATCCCTACACTAAGCCAGTCACAGAACCCAGGTGTCTTGAGTTCGAACCTAGAGTGCCCATCCAAGTGCCAGCAGAATTGTTTTCCTCCTGTGTGTGCTTTAGTGAGATGCCATAACTTATACCGGAGGACAGATCCTGTCTACAGGAGGATGCTGTGGGAATGGACTGTGCTTCACACTTAAATTTGTGCATGAGTGCTTGGCTGTGTTTATGTCCATGTTCCACATATGTGCTCAGTCCCCTGGATCTGCAGTCACTGGTTATAAAGTTCCGTGTGGGTGCTGGGAATCAAACCATGGTCCTCTACAAGAGCAGCCAGTGCTCTTAGCCACTGAGGCATCTCCCCAGCTCATGGTTTATTAGCTTTAATAAAATTACTGGGCCTACTTGCCTGTGTGCTTGACTTCTCCGTCTCTTTCCCTCCATATTCAAACAGATTCTTCTTTGCAATGATTTATGTATCCCAGGTCTGTCTGAAACCTTCCCTGGAAGTTCTACTCCACAGCCTGCCTTTATCAAATCTGGTGGGACTTGGCATTTAGTGGATGTGTGGTAAATATCTGTTGGATAAATGGAAAGTGGGGTATGGTAGCCACAATGGAAATGTTTCTCTCTCCAGGTTTTCCTGGCCACTGTCCTGTGTACATTTGTCAGGAGGTCTTGTACTGTCACAGGAGTGTGGCTCTGGATGTCAGAGGCCAGATATATATATCCCCTAGTCCAGCTGCCCTTACCTGAGTTCCACAGTACTTGGTGTTACGATTTAATCTACCTAGCTCATGCTATTGGGATCACTGCTATTGGCAGACTTGGAATCTCATCCTTGGCATTTGTTGTAGGTATCTGCTGACTCCCTTCACTCAGCATCCGTTTCTGCTTCTAATGCTACCATGATATTCTTTGAAAAAGAATCCTTCCCTGACCTCAGACCATGCAGCTCAGATGGGATTATAGACTTTCATCGCAGGCCTGACCAATCAGAACATTCTATTCTTCTGGCCGCAGTGATTTGTCCCAGGATGTGTTGTGGCCAAAGCTATGACCCAACAACTCAATTACAGGAGTTGTGTTGAAACCCAGAAGTTCATTTTCAACTAGATTTATCAGGACAATAGGTTATTAAACTACAGCTGTCTACATTACTTTAATGGGATAACTCAATGAACAAACCGCGAGCCAAGGGAATTGTGGTCACAGTGGACACTGGATTCAGCTACGTCTGATCCCCAGTTGGGTTTTCTGTCAATGCACTGAAAAGGATTTGAACTAACACAAATTATTTTCTCTCTCTGTGGTCTCTTCCTGGACCAGCCAAAGCTTCAAGTGTCATGGTTATTAGCGATGGTGTGCTTTCAACGCCACGGCATCACTGGGAATGAAAACACTCATGTGGCCAGATCCTGGGTTTACCACCAATCATTAAAGATGACTCTGAGCCCCCACGTCTCGGGAAAGGGGCAGAAGGACTAGATGCTCTGCACACGGAGGACTAGTGCGCCGTTCAAGGCCATGCTTCGATGGCATGGGTGGCACTTTGGGATGAAATTCTGCTTTACTGTGATGCCATTAACATTTTTAAGAAGGTTGCACTGGGTAGTTCAGGCTGAGCCTCCTGCCTCAGCCTCCACAGGGCGGGGATCACAGGCATGTGTCACCATGCCAAGAGTCATTAACTTTTTTAAAGGCAAAATGAGGACTGCTGGGCGTGGCAAAGCTGTGATGGCAGGGAACAGGCAGGGGCGTGTCTAAGAATGGCTTTGCTTCCTTTCGTGTAGGAGTGGGTTCCACTCCCATCACCCACCAGTAACCAGTGTAGTGTTCAGTTTAAGTAATGGCCTGCGTCCTCGCCAAGCTCGGGAGCCAGAAACAGTGGTCGGCCATTGTGGCAGCTCCCCTCAGGTGGAGGGTGACATGAAAAGCTGCTTTCCCAGGGGACTCCATCAGCAATTTACTCAGCCCAGAAGCGCAGTCACTGCTTAGGTAGTTTGCAGCTCTCCATCCACCAGGCTTTGTCCGAAGATCTCAGCTAGCTCTTGAAGGCAAGGTTTATGTTGAACAGGTTCCAACAGTGAGATCAGCCTCGTGGAAGGTTTCCATATATGACATGTGTCTGCTGCTCTGCCCAAGAGTGTTACCAAGGCCCCCCTCACTGAAGCTGTTCAGGGAAGCAGGGCTTGGCTGGGATCCCACATTAAGGGGGCAGTGGAGTTTTGGTTTCTGGAAAACAGGGGGTATTATTCTTTTCGTCAAGTTAGAATGCCATGTATGATCTCTATAGATGGGAAAATTTTTTAAAGGATAGAGGGGAAAATAAAGACAACCATCTCATAATCCTACCCCTTGATACAAACCCATCCTTCTCTGAATGCAGGTGTCCGTGCGTTTCAGGAAGGCAGCATTGCAGTAATAGGCAAGAGGCTCATTGGGGCTGGAGAGATGGCTCAGCAGAAAAGCACTTTCTGCTCCTACAGAGGATCTGGGTTCTATTCCCAGCATCCTTCATGGCAGCTCATAACCTCACTTCTAGAGAATCCAAAGCTCTGTTTGGGTTTGCAGACACCTGTATGCATGTGGTGCACAACACACACACAAACATACACACAGACACACAACACACAAACATACACACAGACACACAACACACAAACATACACACAGACACACAACACACAAACATACACACAGACACACACACATAAGGCACACACACACACACACAGATGACACACAAACATACACACAGACATACAACACACACCCACACCCACAAACACACGCAAACATACACACAGACACACACACACACAGACACACACACAACACACACAGATGACACACACATAGACACACACAGATGACACACACACACACAGACACACATGCACGCACGCACACATACACACCAAAAAAATAATTTTACTATCTAACATACTCTTCTTTCATGTTGGTATCACAGGGTTAGGCTACCTTTAAGCACCAGCTCGGTTTGTGAAGAAAAGTGAGGTCTACAGCCTCACACCATCCTAGGCATTTCTGAAGACTAAGCCAGTGCAGTGAACTTAGCACCTGAAAGGCTCGGCACCTTGGCTAAAGGCTATGAGGCTTAAGGAGAACATGGGACAACACCAGAACAAGAGGCGACTTCCTGCCCGAGGAAGGAGACAGTGGGCAGGCAGGCAAACCACGCTGGCTAATCACAAATGAACTGCGTTGCAGTCCACTGCTAGACACACCATCAGAGTTTGCATGTAAAATGTTTACATGATGCACATGATCAGACGGGATCACTCTAGACCACAACACAGTGAGTTGTTTTATTACACAAGAACACCCTAACCTTTTAAATAACACACTTTTTTCTTTAAAAAAAAAACACACACACACACACACAAAATCAACTTATGGGGGCTGTGAGCTCCTCATGTACTTCCCACCAGAGCGATAGGCAACCTCAGTAATGCCACAAACAAGAGACAGCCAAATCCTTCAAAATGGCGTTCACAGTTTTACATGGATGCCCTTATTCAGTCCAAAGATAGAGATGAACAAGTTGGTAGACAAATCACTAGAGGGGCAAAAGGCCAGTGTTTGGCGTTCAGTGGGTAGAGATGTGCTTTCTCTGGCATCCTAATTTTTGAGTTAGTTGCTTGGTGTGATTTGCTCACTTTCAGATTTGCCTTAAAAAAAATAAAATGACTTATTTTCAAATAATAAATTAAAGACCAACCGTCTCCCATTAGTGTTGACCCTTTCCTATTCTGTCTGAAAAGCTTAATTCAGTGGGGGTGGGGATAATAAACTGGTCAGGGTGTTTAGCTCAGGAGGAGGGTAGGAGTCCTTTTGATAATCACATCTCTTTACTTGTTTAATGTGTGTGTGTGTGTGGGTGCACACACACCACAGTGCACATGTGGAGGTCAGAGGACAACTTGGGGGAAGCTGGTACTCTCCTTCCATCATGTGGGTCCCAGGAACTGAACTTGGGCCGTCGGGCTTGGGGGTCAGTGCCTTTACCCAATGAGCCACCTCCCTGGATGGTGACGGGGATTTATCGAAGGTCTGTGATGGTCACAATCCTGTCCTTGACCGTGACATGACTGCAGTCCTGAACAGGGAAGAAGAACAACAATGAGCCTGTGGGAAACCCTTTGAGTCATTAAAAACAAGAGCATCTATTTATTCCTATTTGAGTCTGGGTTGTATGAAAGGCAACCCAGATGGCCCTGGTCCTCCTGCTGCTACTTCAGAGTGTTGGTATTACAGGCACACACTCCCCAGAGTGTTAGTATTACAGGCACACACTCCCCAGAGTGTTGGTATTATAGGCACACACTCCTCAGAGTGTTGGTATTTCAGGCTCACACTCCCCAGAGTGTTGGTATTACAGGCACACACTCCCCAGAGTGTTGGTATTACAGGCTCACACTCCCCAGAGTGTTGGTATTACAGGCTCACACTCCCCAGAGTGTTGGTATTACAGGCTCACACTCCCCAGAGTGTTGGTATTACAGGCTCACACTCCTCAGAGTGTTGGTATTACAGGCTCACACTCCTCAGAGTGTTGGTATTACAGGCTCACACTCCTCAGAGTGTTGGTATTACAGGCTCACACTCCCCAGAGTGTTGGTATTACAGGCTCACACTCCTCAGAGTGTTGGTATTACAGGCACACACTCCTCAGAGGGTTGGTATTATAGGCTCACACTCTCCAGAGTGTTGGTATTACAGGCTCACACTCCCCAGAGTGTTGGTATTACAGGCTCACACTCCCCAGAGTGTTGGTATTACAGGCTCACACTCCCCAGAGTGTTGGTATTACAGGCTCACACTCCTCAGAGTGTTGGTATTACAGGCTCACACTCCCCAGAGTGTTGGTATTTCAGGCACACACTCCCCAGAGTGTTGGTATTACAGGCTCACACTCCCCAGAGTGTTGGTATTACAGGCTCACACTCCCCAGAGTGTTGGTATTACAGGCTCACACTCCCCAGAGTGTTGGTATTACAGGCTCACACTCCTCAGAGGGTTGGTATTACAGGCTCACACTCCTCAGAGTGTTGGTATTACAGGCTCACACTCCCCAGAGTGTTGGTATTACAGGCTCACACTCCTCAGAGTGTTGGTATTACAGGCTCACACTCCCCAGAGTGTTGGTATTACAGGCTCACACTCCCCAGAGTGTTGGTATTACAGGCTCACACTCCTCAGCGTGTTGGTATTACAGGCTCACACTCCCCAGAGTGTTGGTATTACAGGCACACACTCCTCAGAGGGTTGGTATTATAGGCTCACACTCTCCAGAGTGTTGGTATTACAGGCTCACACTCCCCAGAGTGTTGGTATTACAGGCTCACACTCCCCAGAGTGTTGGTATTACAGGCTCACACTCCTCAGAGTGTTGGTATTACAGGCTCACACTCCCCAGAGTGTTGGTATTTCAGGCACACACTCCCCAGAGTGTTGGTATTACAGGCTCACACTCCCCAGAGTGTTGGTATTACAGGCTCACACTCCCCAGAGTGTTGGTATTACAGGCTCACACTCCCCAGAGTGTTGGTATTTCAGGCTCACACTCCCCAGAGTGTTGGTATTACAGGCACACACTCCCCAGAGTGTTGGTATTACAGGCTCACACTCCTCAGAGGGTTGGTATTACAGGCACACACTCCTCAGAGTGTTGGTATTACAGGCTCACACTCCCCAGAGTGTTGGTATTACAGGCTCACACTCCCCAGAGTGTTGGTATTACAGGCTCACACTCCTCAGCGTGTTGGTATTACAGGCTCACACTCCCCAGAGTGTTGGTATTACAGGCTCACACTCCTCAGAGTGTTGGTATTACAGGCACACACTCCCCAGAGTGTTGGTATTACAGGCACACACTCCCCAGAGTGTTGGTATTACAGGCTCACACTCCTCAGAGGGTTGGTATTACAGGCACACACTCCTCAGAGTGTTGGTATTACAGGCTCACACTCCCCAGAGTGTTGGTATTACAGGCTCACACTCCTCAGAGTGTTGGTATTACAGGCTCACACTCCCCAGAGTGTTGGTATTACAGGCACACACTCCTCAGAGTGTTAGTATTACAGGCACACACTCCCCAGAGTGTTAGTATTACAGGCACACACTCCCCAGAGTGTTGGTATTATAGGCACACACTCCTCAGAGTGTTGGTATTTCAGGCTCACACTCCTCAGAGTGTTGGTATTACAGGCTCACACTCCCCAGAGTGTTGGTATTACAGGCACATACTCCCCAGAGTGTTGGTATTACAGGCACACACTCCCCAGAGTGTTGGTATTACAGGCTCACACTCCTCAGAGTGTTAGTATTACAGGCACACACTCCCCAGAGTGTTAGTATTACAGGCACACACTCCCCAGAGTGTTGGTATTATAGGCACACACTCCTCAGAGTGTTGGTATTTCAGGCTCACACTCCTCAGAGTGTTGGTATTACAGGCTCACACTCCCCAGAGTGTTGGTATTACAGGCACATACTCCCCAGAGTGTTGGTATTACAGGCACACACTCCCCAGAGTGTTGGTATTACAGGCACATACTCCCCAGAGTGTTGGTATTACAGGCTCACACTCCCCAGAGTGTTGGTATTACAGGCTCACACTCCTCAGAATGTTGGTATTACAGGCTCACACTCCCCAGAGTGTTGGTATTACAGGCTCACACTCCCCAGAGTGTTGGTATTACAGGCTCACACTCCTCAGAGTGTTGGTATTACAGGCTCACACTCCTCAGAATGTTGGTATTACAGGCACACACTCCTCAGAGTGTTGGTATTACAGGCTCACACTCCCCAGAGTGTTGGTATTACAGGCTCACACTCCTCAGAGTGTTAGTATTACAGGCACACACTCCCCAGAGTGTTGGTATTTCAGGCACACACTCCTCAGAGTGTTGGTATTACAGGCTCACACTCCTCAGAGTGTTGGTATTACAGGCTCACACTCCCCAGAGTGTTGGTATTACAGGCTCACACTCCCCAGAGTGTTGGTATTACAGGCTCACACTCCCCAGAGTGTTGGTATTACAGGCACACACTCCTCAGAGTGTTGGTATTACAGGCTCACACTCCTCAGAGTGTTGGTATTACAGGCACACACTCCTCAGAGTGTTGGTATTACAGGCTCACACTCCTCAGAGTGTTGGTATTACAGGCACACACTCCTCAGAGTGTTGGTATTACAGGTATACACTCATTGGTGCTGGGGACTGGACCCGGGGTCTGGGGCTTGTGAGGAAAGCCCTCTACCAGCTGAGCTACATCCCCAGCCCTAAGCCTCTCACTGAAAATGCCCACTCAAGACCCAGAAAGACGAATGTCTAACAGTCTCCCTTATTTGTGGATCCTAGCTCTGAATCTTCACATTTGAGTATACACCCTGATGTGTCAGAGGAAGCCAGGAGAGCAGAAAGGGACCATGGCAGGGAGGGTGGCCCACAAGCTCTAGAGAGCGGAATAGTAGGAGTCAAGTATTACAAGGGGTTCAGCTGGGGAGCGGAAGGAAGGACAATACAGGCAGAGAGGAGAGAACAACTAGCTAACACTAAGGGTGCCTGAAAACATGGGGGTTATATGCTAGGTATGATGGCATACACGCTTAACCCAAGCATTTGGAAGGCAGGAGGCAAGTGGATCTCTGTGAGTTGAAGGCTGCCTGGTCTACATAGTGAGTACTAGGCAATTGAGGCCCTGTCTCTAACCTCACCCCCCAACCACACCCCCACCCCCAATTCACACTGTTGGTTGGACAAATACAAGTCTTCCCAAACAATATGAGCTACTGTCATTGACCTTGCTTGCCTTCAAGAACTCACATGTAAGACTCTATTGCTGGAGATACCACACTATTTTGGACACAGTACTCTTGGAGGATTCACGCTGGAAATGAACCTGGGAAACCTCCTTGTAGAGGGCTGGCTCTCAGAGTGGAAAGATACTGTGCAAGCTGCTCAGGGAGAGGAGCAATCGGATGTCCTACCCAGCTCCACAGCCTACGGCCCACAATAATGCCCAGATGGGTAAGGTGCTACAGGAGCACTTTTATCTAGGGGGTGACCATCAGCCGTCTAATTGGACAAAAACCCTTCTCAGTGTGTGTGTGTGGTGGGGGAGGGGTTCATACTTGGTACTGTAACCCTAGCCATGGCTGGAGAGGGCGCAGACCTAAGAGAAGAACCTATCACTGCCATTTCCCTACCAGTATGGGTTCTGATTGCATTCTAAACTCTTACCCTGGTACCTACAGGTAAGTGTGGCTCTTGTCCTTCACAAATAAAGCTTCCTTTCGCAACAGATGAAGGCTGCTAGAGAACTACAACAGATAGTACAAAAGTAAGCAACAGATCTACAAGGCAACCAAGAAACCCAAGGCTTAGGGAAAATCTCAGAAGACAACAGAAAGACTGTGTGGCCCAGTTACCCACTAGGCTTGACAGGGAAAAACACATCCAAGAAATAATGATACGGTTGCATAGACCAAACAAAATAATTGACAACACCAGATTAACCTGTCAACATGAATGGAAGAAAATTTCACACTGCTCCCCCCACCCCCCCCAAGATGAAAGCCTCAGGTCGTTGTTTTCTGAGACGTTTCTTCGAGGGATGAGCTCCTGCATACATTGTCTAATCCCAAGGGGTCAGCCCAGGACACATGCATTTATGAGCAAAGCTAAATGGGCCCAGTAGGCTGTGCGTGCGTGCGTGTGTGTGTGTGTGTGTGTGTGTGTGTGTGTGTGTGTAAAATTACTTCTATCATATAAAATCAGCTCTCAGAGCCCATGATCCTAGCCTTCTGTGATTTTCTTCATTATATTTCCTGCTCTTTCATGCTTTATGGCTCAGGATTCTGGTTCCATCCTCTCTGTTGCTTGCTTTTCTCTGGACCCCCTTGCCCCCCCCCCACAGAAAAGAGGTAAAAGTTCATGCTAGTGTGGAGTACGTACCAGAATCTCATTGATCTGAGGCTGATCTGTCACCCTGATATCTGGTCAGCTAAACCAGTTGTCATGGACACAAGCTGGGAAGAGAAACCACTTCCTGGGGAGGGGGGGGTGAGAACCCTATTTTCTGTGCAAAACTCCAGAATGGAATACTCTGAGTTTACCTAGCTGACATGGCTTTTCCCTTTGCATTAGGATCGCAGACTGAAACTTTGTAACTGACACTGAACAAAGTAACATTTAACAAGCAGGTAACGCATTAGGTATTTCTGTTATGACCTCCTTTTCCAGTGATGCTGGGGACTGAACCCAGAGCCTCATGCATGCTCAACTCATTCTGCCTGGGCTACCGGGGGGTCCCACTCACTCCATCGTCTCAGTGACCCTGTAACCTAAGTGTCATTATTATTGCAGTATCAGATGAAAGACCCAGGAAGAATCAGGACCTCAGAGACTGGGAAGTAGCGGGCTGACAGAGCTGACATCCCAACCCTTCTCCATCGCCCACTGCTTCCTGTGTCCATGCTGACTGTGGAACTCTGGGAAGGCGAGTGACGGGGCTGAACTCAGGTGCCTCAGAAGGGACCATCCATGCCCTTTGTGGGCTTCACGTGCGTGCAGACTTCTACATAGATACGTACGCAGAACAGAGGCGGGTCTCTGCCATGAGGGTGAAAGCCTTTCTGCCTGCAGGTTGAGATCTCTTGAAGGCCATAGTCCGTTAACTTAAAGAATCCAGTTCTGAAATAAGAAGGGGCAGGGTCAGAGTCAAGGGTTCCCTCCCTCAGAGGCTCCCTCCCTTCAATCCTAACGTTCTCCCTGTCTTTGCCTGCCGCATCCTCAACACATTCCAGGCGAGCACACTGGCTGAGCAGGGCAGAGGAATTTTGGGGCAGTTTTCACACTACACTGGCTTATCTGGCTTATAGCTCTCTCCTCCGGGGAATGGGTCATGGTTAAAGAACACATTTTCTGGTGATTATAAATAGGAATCTAACAGGAATTCTTCTTTTTTTCTTAGACTTATTTAACTCTATTTTATGAGTTCTTTGCCTACATGCCCGGTACTCAGTGAGGTCAGAAGAGGTTGCTGGGATCCTACGAGTTACAGGTGATTGTGGGCCACTGTGTGAGTGCTGGGGATGGAATTGAACCTACGTCCTCTGCACAAGCATAACCTGCTGAGCCATCTGTCCAGGCTCCAAACAGGAACTCTCCACTTGGGAATTAAAAGTGAAAATTCCTTTGAGCAAATCAACAACAGATTTAAGTAGGAATAAAAAAAAAAAAAAAAAAAAAGCACCAGCGAACAATGCCTTAGGCCGATTAAGATTCTTCAGTCTGAGGAGCAGAGGGTGGGGTGGCAAGAACAGGGTCACAAGGCCTGTGGCACAACACTAAATGCCACAGAAGTGGAGCTTCAAAACCATGGAAATGAAAAGCTCGTTCACCGCTGCTGGGGACTTCACAGTGAAGAGGATGTCCGGAACGGAAAGGACTAACACTGGGAGATGATCTCGAATGTGGGAGTTTTCAGCCTTTAACCTCAGGCTCTTGAGATCCTGCCACTTTAAGTCAAATAGTTCGAATTTCTTGAAGGTTTTTTCCTAGAAAACCAGCATTATTAACATCTTTTAAAGACAGGTTGTGTCCATCAGAATATGGGACTTAAAGGAAGCCTTTCAGAACAGTGAGTGAAGGCAGTTTATGATTTTTAGTTTTTAAAAGGTCTGCCCTGAAGGATGACTCAGTTGGTAAAATGCTTGGTATACAAACGGGAGGACCTGATATTGTATCCCCGGCATCCACAAAAGAGCTTGGTGTGATGGTATACATCTAAAATCCCCAAGCTAGGGAGGCAGAGAGTGGCGCTCTCCAACCAAACCAGTGGTCTCCAGGTTCAGCCAGAGACTTGTGTCAAAAACAGTAAGGTAGAAAAGCAACAAAGACATCCCGTGTCAACCCCTGGCCTCCACAAACATGTGAACACTTGTGCACAGGCACCCTCCTATACTCATGTAAACATGTAAGCAAACGTGCACACACTCACACATGCACACGCACACACATGCACACACGCACACTCACACATGCATGCGCACATGCACACGTACACACACACACTCACATGCACGCAAACACACGGCTGGTTTCCATAAGAGAGAAGAGCTTCTGCTGGTACTCACTCCTGGAACTTGGGGGAGCAGACGATTGCTATGGATTCTGGTAACATCATTTGATAGGAGCAGTGGGTGTGCAGGTCCACACTGGACAGAAAGGCCGTTTGGGTCGGGTGAGTCTGAAAAGGTCAAACAGGTCAGAGACGCCTGGCCCTCTGAGGAAGGCAGTTCCCAGGACAGCCCGTGAGCAGGCCCCAGCCCCTTCTTTAAGCACAGAGTCATTTGCAGTCATAAGGAACACACTTGACCCCCATGCCCAGTTCCTTCCCAGCACTGGGAACAAATGACTCTTACATCAGTGTGTGCAGACCACAGGTCCTTCAAAGATCAAGAGATTGTTAACACAGCGTGCAGCCTGTAGAGTTCAGACCACGAGCCATTTACTTGAAAATGGCTGAGGCCGTCTTTTACTTATTTAGAAACAGGGTCTAACTGTGTAACAGGCTGCCCTGAAACTTACTATGTAACCATGGCTGGTCCCAAACACCACCTGCCCCAGTCTCCGAAGTACTGCAATACGGATGTGGCCACATCTCATCCAAAGGCCAGAGTCAACTCAGCGCTCACACCGTATACATATCTCAAAACACGTTATACATGATTTGTCAGTTTTACACCTGCCTCTGCCTCCTGAGTGCTGGGATTAAAGGTGTGCGCCACCACTGCCCGGCCTAAAATCAGCTTTTGAAAGCTCTGAGAAATAGAAGAAAGAAGTTGAGCACAGAGATGTGCGAGGTCAAGGTCAGGGGTGTCGGTCAGGTGTGGGAATAGATGGATCTCTGTGGGAGCGGAGCGAAACAACTGGCCTTTTCGTCTTCCTCCTAAAATTTAAGGCTCCAAGAAGACCTATAGACTGCTGTTTTCATTTTTTAAAATTACATGTATGTATGTATGAATGTATGTATGTATGTGCAACCTCACAAACGTGTGTCTGCCTCTGTGTGTGTGTGTGTGTGTGTGTGTGTGTGTGTGTGTGTGTGTGTGCAGGTCAGAGAAAAACTTGTGAGAGCCAGTTTTCTCCTTCTGCCAAGTGAGCCAGAGAACTGAACTCAGCTGAGAGTTGACAGCAAATGCTTTTACACACTGAGCCACCTGGTCAGTCCTCTTGTTTTCAATCCCAAATCACGAAGAAATGGTGCAGACATGTCACAGAGGTGAAATGAGCCAAAATACACCCCCACTCCCCACCCACCCCCACCCCGGTGTTCCTAGCTGGGCCCCTGCCCATCCATGCTCAGCTCTTCCTGGAGTCTGAGCCTGCCCTCTCCTTTAGTTCTTTTTCATTCTTAAAAAAAAAAAAAAAAAGATTTACTTAAAAAATGGTTTCACTTATGTTTCTGTGCACACGTGTGTGTGAATATACGTCTCGCGTGTGCAGGCAGGCTGTGTCCTGGGTAGGCCAGAAGTGGGTGTCAGATCCCTTGGTGCTGGAGTTATGGGAGAGTATATGCTGGCCAGAAGGGGTTTGGGGGACCAAATCCAGATCCCCAGAAGAGCAGCGAGAGCTCTAAGCACTGAGCCTCCTCCAGCTTCTAACCTCCTCTGCTTCCCGCCCTCCCCATCCACCCCACTCCAACCTCACTGAGGTGACAGCACCTGACAAGGGGCTGTGACTCCTTCCATCAGCTCACCCACCTCCCTGTGTCTTCAGCTCTGACCTCAACCCTGGCTCTGAGCGCTGGGTGCTTTCTCCCAGTGCAGATGCGCCTGCTGTGGCGCTGTCCGTCCCCGCTGTCCCTGCTGTCCCCGCTGTCCCCGCGGTCACAGTGCCCTGCCGGCCGTTTCTCCCCTCCTCCACACACACACGCACGCACGCGCACACACACACATACACACACGCACGCACACAGGCACGCACTCACACACACGCACGTGCACACACGCACGCGCACAGACACGGGCACGCACTCACACACACGCACATGGCGCACACACGTGCACACACACACACATACCAGACAGCTGCATGCCAGAGGGTGGATAAATCTTGAAGGGGCCAAGCAGAGGAAGCTGGATGTAAGAAATGACACATCTTACAATTGCAGTTCAAGGTCAGACCCAAGCAGAGAAGGACAGCACGTAGGGAGTCAGACTTAAGGGGTGAACTCTAAAGAAAGTTCGGACATGATGATGGGAGCAGGGGGGTCACTCTTGCAGATAGGAAGTGGGGGGGGGTGGAGCAGGTCCTGGCAGGGTCCTGGTTCCTTATTTAGGTATTGTGTGCACAAAGATGCTGGCAGAAGGAGCCCTTGAACTGCAGAGTTAGTCCATTACTAACGCAACTAGGCTACATTTTGACATACAATGCAGTAGGATAACCAGAGCCGACAGTGGGCCTCACTGGATTAATGTCTTCAGTGGGCGCCCAGCTCTAGGTTCCCAGTCTTTTTCCAGCCCAGTGCCGGCGAAGCACCCTGAAGCCCGTCTTTTAATGGCCCTGCTCTGCGGCTCCTGCCACATTCTTCACCCCCACACCTTCCCTTCACGACCTCACCCGCTGCGTTTTCTGCTCCCACAGTAGCCTGCCTCTCTTGCTGTCCACTCTCCCCAAGGCTGCCTGGGCTAGTTCAATACCAAAGCCTTCCTGAGGCAAACCCACAAATTCCAGCCATGCGGGAGCTCAGGGGACCTGCCCAGCACTGACCCCTCCCCCATGAGACTCTCCGTCGGCCCCTCACCACAAGTCATCTAAGTCACCCAGGTGTGCTCTGACCCACACCCTCCCCCACAGACATACACCGTGCTCTGAAACCCGCAGTGCCCTGAGTCCCCTCCTAAGGAGTAAGGAGTATATGCGCTGCCTCCGGTGAAACACTTGAGAACTGTAGCAAAGGCAAGTGCTGCTTGGTGAAGTCAGGGTTCGACCCTCAGGATGGACTCCCTTGGTATTTACATCCGTTTCGTTTACACGGCTTTTAGGTACATGGTCTCCACGCCATGTCCACAAATCCGAGGCCAGCTTCCCCTCACCAGGGACACCAGAGCATCGAAGAACTATTTTTAGTAAAAGGTAAAGTTGAGGGAAACTTTTGAAAGCTCTCAGCACTGCTCTGAGTTCGTACTGGAGCACTGGTGGCCACGGGCGCAGAGAAACAAATCATTTGGATAGGTTTTACCCTGCTCAGGGAGAGAAGCAGCCACTGCGCCTCTAACATAAGGGGAACCGCGCCCCGCCCCGCCCCGCCCTCTCAGGAAAGTCAGATCTTCTTACATGGATCCAGCCAAGAGTGAGAAGTCCAAGATCATCCTGCATAAAGAAAATTTCTTCTTCATTCTCTGTGTGACAATAATCAGGCCCACCATTTTGTCTGGGGATGAGAACATGTGTGATTGTGAATTCATTTCTCATCTGCAAAGGAGAAAACAAGAGGTCATACTACCCTGGGGCTCTCAACCCCATTCCCTCTCCCCTGAGCATGATGCTCACTCCTCCCTGAATCCCTGTGTTCATGTGCTTTGCCTGGGTGCTTGATGAAGCCGAGACAAACCCCAGATCTCCCTCTCAGCACAGGCCGGGCCAATGGCATAATCTACTCAGGGTTCTTGAGGAGTTCTGGAAAGAGCTTCACCCCTCTGCTGCCTAAAGCAGCTTCCCTGCTCCGGCCTCCTCATTGAGGTCTAGGTGAGGCTCACTTGCCCACTCATTGGGTTGATTGGAAGTGAGCCTCTCCCTCAGTGGCCTGGCCTTGCCTTCCTCACAGTTCCTACTGGACACACTGCTCAGCACTCTATCCCAGGGAGGACTGCACACTTATGGACACATGCAAACAAGACCTTAGATGATTTATAGTCCCAGGCCCACCACTCAGGGGGAGCTAAAAAGAGGAGAAGAGAAAATACACAAGCCTTCCCGCTCAGTTAAAATTAAGCTTTCCTTCCTTCCTTCCTTCCTTCCTTCCTTCCTTCTTCCTTCCTTCCTTCTTTCCTTCCTTCTTCCTTCTTCCTTCCTTCTTCCTTCTTCCTTACTCCTTCCCTTCTTTCCTTTCCTGAGACAAAGTCTTATTCCATAGTCAACACTGGTCAGAACTCACTATGCAGTTCAAGCTGACCTCAAACTTGAGGAAAGCCTTCTGTCTCCGATTCCCAAGGGGTAGGATTACAGGCGTGAGGCCAGGCACCACCCCTGACTGGTATTACAGCATGTGTGTGTGTATGCGTGTGTGTGTGTGTGTGTGTATGTGTGCGCGCGTGCGCGCGTGCGTGTATGAGAGCTTGCACGTGTGTGTAAGCTGAAGGAAATTCTTGTGTGTTGTTCTTCATGTTCAATTAAATTATTTTTGTTTTTTTAAAACGTAATTTATTTTTATTTTATTTGCACTGGTGTTCTGCCTGCATATCTGTGTGAGGGTGTCAGATCTTGGAGTTACAGACAGTTGTGAGCTGCCATGTGGGTGCTGGGAATTGAACCCTGGTCCTCTGGAAGAGCAGTCAGTGCTCTTAACCATTGGGCCATCTCTTCAGCCCCAGTTAATTTTTGTTTAAAACTGTGTCCTCTTATTGGCCTGGGAATTGTAAAGCAGGCTGTCTGTCTGGCCCATAACCCTGAGGGCCCTGTCCCTCCCCTCCCCAGTGACCATGGGTGCAGTCTCTGTGGAGGAGGAGACTGGTACAGAGTCAGACCCCAGATGTCCAGTCTGAGAGTTACAGGAGACTCAAAGGGAACAGCCCCACTTCAGGCAGGTTACACTCCCTTACCAATTTTCCACAGAGGACTCCACACGTTTCAATGCCCTTGGCAGTATTGGCACTGGCAAGCTGGAGGAATTCCGAGCACAAATTTCGGGGCACTACGATGTGGCGTAGGCCTTCGATCGTGGGAACTAAAATGACAAGGGGTAGAAGTCTGAGGCCGGAGGACCAGGAGTCCCTGAGCAGAAATCAGAGCTGGCAGCGTGGAGAAACGCTACATCATGGGATCCCCTCCATGAGCCCCCTCTCTTCCCAAAGGCAGCGCAGAGGGGATTTGAAGTCTCTTCTCCAGTATCCAGCCACAGCGGACTGGAGGCTGTGACCACATTCTTTAGTATCAACCAGACTGGATGGAGCGTTATTTCTGGAGGTGGCCATGAGGCGTTTCTAAGGAAACGTATGTTTGTGGGCGGTGCCTGGGCTCAATGGTCAACATGGGTGGACAGCATGCAGCCAGCTGGGGGCTGTAGGGAACAGAGAAAGGTCTCCTGTGCGTCTCTCCTGAGACACCCATGCTCTGTCACTGTCCTTAGACTCTGGGCTGTGGACACGCACTGGATCCTCAGATCTCGGCCTGAGGCTCACGTCACACAAGTGGCTTCCCTGGTCTGTGCCTTTCAGACACAGACTGAGCCAAACTATGGTATAGCAGAGCTCCCTCCTTGCACAAAGCCTGTTGTGGAGATGCTCAGCCGTACTGGCCACTCCCCCCAAGAACTGCGCCACCATGGGAACCCCACCTGAACTTTAAAAGACGTTCCAGACTGCCTAGAAAAACACACAGGCGCTTGTCTCAAGGGCAGAGTTCCACAGAGATTCCCCCTTCAGGGCAGGGTGGTAGGAACGGCCAATGTGACACGATTCTGGACCAGTCACCCCTGTCCTGCTCACTCTTGCCTCTCTGTTGTTGTTTTGGAAATGCGGATCCGTGGCTGCCCAAGCTCACAGCTAGAGGGGGCTGACCCCCGTGTCTTGAGCTGATTTAAAAGGAACTTTGGGTTTTTGCTTTATGATCCCGATCCTTCAAGAGGAGTTTTAACCATTCAAGGTAAGGATCTACTTTTTAAAAAGGTTTTCGGGTTTTGTTTTGTTTTGTTTGAAAAGGATGGTTTGATGGCACACGACTGTCATCTCGGCACTCGGGATACCGTGACAGGGGAGTGACAAGCTCAGGGCCAGTCAGTCTACACATCAAGGCTTAAGGCTCCACGGGCACAGCCACTGCTGCATGAGCATGAGGACCTGAGTTTGAATCCCCGGGAGCCACATGAAATACAGGTACAGTAGGGTACATCTACAGGTCTGGTGTTCCTACGAGAGGATGAGAGGCAAGAACAGAAGGCCCGATGAAGCTCACAGCTGGCAGCAAAGAGGCCCCGTTTCAAATAAGATGGAAGCTGCTGAGTGCCCGGTGTGTTGTGAAAGAAAGCTTAAACGTCAAGCTCTCTGAGAAGGTGTCACCAAAGCAGCTTGTAAAACTTATCCAGGATGCCTAGAGTGGATCCTTTTGTGAACTCCACAGACAAGCCATGTGAGACCAGCGAGTTAGGGGAAGCAGACACTGTTAAGAACGAAGAGTGAAACAGATGTGGCACATCAGCATCTTGGTTTGCTAGACCTGAACCGCCAGAGGGGACCGTGCAGAGCAGCAGACAGAGCAACAGCAGTTTGACAACTGCGGCTGTGGGTGATGGGTTAGTGTGGGGCACATCTTCCTTTAATTCCAGCGGCCACTCAGTCCAGTCTCAGAAGGCATGTCTCAGCCCACAGGAGACACAGAACGAGAAAGACTCAAGGCCTCGCCTGCAGGAAGTTAGGATCTAGCTATTAACAAGGTGATGGCACTCCCAGAAATGATTCTGAAATACTGAGGGTAAGAGGGTCCCTGGGAGTCTCATGGGGTGGATCAATCAGAGAGGGACAGGAGAAGCAGAGAAGGCAGATGCTAAGGCTAGGTGGAAGCTACCAAAGCCGTCCCCAGAGCACAGGATGTGCGGGAAGGGGCAGGACAGGGAGAGAGGACTCGGAACGGGGCAGGTCTGAAGGCCAACCCTCGGGGCACAGCCCTCCCTCCTTCCTTCCAGACGTTCGAAGATGGCTCACAAGGTTTTCTGAAGGAAACAAGCAAGCACCTACAATCCGCAGCACTTTCCTTGGCCAAGCTCCTTACTGATGAGGAGCTCTCCAGGGTAGTGATTCCATGGCCTTAAAAGAAGCCAGGCACGGAGTTGCATGTGGCACTAAACGTTTTAAAACTGCTCCCAGGAAGTGCCACCTGTGACCTCTAGTTCGCTGAACACCTCACATTTCTGCAAAACCCTTAAAAGCTGAGGGTCTGTCTTCCAGGAACTGTCTCAGATTAACCTCAGTCAAAAGCCAAGTGAGGTTCCGTTGGCGGAACCAAGTAAGTGGGACACAGGGCCACGAGGGAAGGAAGAAGGCGTCAGTGGTGGGACTCACCGCTTTCTATGACGCTTAGTGCTCCAGGTTTCAAGGACCTATCCACCACAGGCGGCTTAGCTGGCCTCGAGGTTCTGTTACAGTCTGAAGTCTGCGTGGGTGAGGTGGGGACCTCATCTACACAAGGCTTTTCCAGATCGGGTAGTGGAGGCCCACACGGGCCAGGGTCCACCTTCCTGAACGCCTGGACAATTTTTAGCCGCTCTTTTTCCAGCTCCTGCTTCTGGATCATCTCCTCAAAGGCACGGAACTGCTCCTGCTCTAGCTGCTTCTGCTTCTGCTGGGCAACTCTCTGTCTTTCTTTTTCCAACTCTTGCTGAATGGCGATGTTCCGGGCAAGTTCCTCCTCTTCCTTTTTCTACAGAGGAAGAAAAGGGTCTTGGCTGACACTTCATCTCTCAGAAGAAAGCATTCAGGGCACAGAGATGTCCAAAATGCAGTTTTGCTCTGGTCTGACCTCCAAATCCCAATCAATGTTTCGCTAGATACTCCTGAAGCCACCATATACCTATTTTTCAACAACAGCTAGAGTTCCTATCTTCAAGATACCTTGGTGTGAAAGCCAGTGTCCACTGCCAACTTGACAGACCCTGGAATCACTTTGAGAACAAGACTCTGGGGGCATGTCTGTAGGGGATGACCTTGAACCGTCCCAATCGTGGATGGGACCACTCCCTGTGCAGGGGATGCTGAGTGTAGGGGATGACCTTGAACCGTCCCTATCGTGGATGGGACCACTCCCTGTGCAGGGGATGCTGAGTGTAGGGGATGACCTTGAACCGTCCCAATCGTGGATGGGACCACTCCCTGTGCAGGGGATGCTTACTGTACAACCAAGGGAGCTGAGCACCAGCATGCTTGCTTTGTTTTTGATTTTCAAATTGCATTTACTTACACGTTTACTAGAGTGGGGACATGTGCCAAGGCTCACGTGTGGTGCTCAGGGGACAAATCTCAGGAGTCTCCAAACTCTCTTAGTGCGTACTTAAATGCAGTGACATTTGAACTAATGTCAGTTAACAGGCCCCTTTAACGCTTTAGAACTATTAACCCCTCTGCTGAGAGTCAGCCCCAGTGTGGAGAACAGCAGCAGACAGCTACACTTTTAGCACGTGGGTGCTCTCCAGCACTGCCTCTGTTCCACAAGGGAGCACCGGGGGCCCTGTGTGCTTCTCCACAAGCTGAAACTATTCTAGACGAGATCCATCGCACATGGCTGGGAAGGTCAGTGACCGTTCAAAGCTTTAGGGATAAAAGTGCACGATCCCAACTTCCCACTCCTGAGAGCTGAAACACCTTATGTTCTAGTGACATCATCATTCACTGTGGTCAGGTTTCTTGCTCTTGACAGCTGTCTGTCCTCAAGTCATCCTCTTGGACACACAGGCTGAATCTGCTAGAATCCTCCATATCGCCACTCTGGGTAATTCCTTTGAGTCACTGGTCTTTGTGAACCCCCCACCCCGCCCCAACAGACCAGCCTGTTAGAAATCACAGACTCCACACGTGCCATGGCGGAGCACAGCCCTGGGACCGGCTGGGAGGCTAAGGCACCACCCTCCGGTCTCTCCCCTGCTCAGGCTGACCTTTTGATCTTTATACTGCTCATATTCTTTGGTATATCTTCTCAAGAGTTCGGCCTTAAGTTCTTCTGCCTTAGGGAAAGCAACATTCTTTAATTTCTGAAATACAAAACCAAACCTGAGACTCAGAACATTCTAATGTCAGCCAAGGAAGAGAGAAAGAGGACAAGTCAAGAGTGACATGATTTGAACCCTTCTGCCCCCGCCGCCCCCGCCGCCCCCGCCGCCCCCGCCGCCCCCGCCGCCCCTTCCTGTGATGGAGAGGCAGCCCAGCTCTGCTCTCTGGCTCTGATGGGCACATGAATGCCTCTTAGAGCCGGGCACCGCTGAAAACAGGGACCCACCTTGACCGCATCCTTCTTCTCAGGAATGACAGCTGATTTGTAGTCTCGGTGTTTTGGAAGTTTCTCAATGAACAGCCTAAGGAAACAGAGCAGAATGATTAAGGTACACAGAAAATGGCACACAGACCCTGGGACAATGCAGACGTTGCAAGAAGAGTTTCTGGGGGTCCTGGGGAGACCAGGCACAGCACACAGGCCTTGTTCCCTGCCAGCTTTATTCCTGCATAAGTCCTGATCACTCCCCCTCCCCCCAACAAGCAGGGAGTAACAGCAAACACCAGATTCCTATATCAAAAAGGACAGCCACCTGCCCGGGCCAGTGAGATGGCTAAGGAGCTGAAGGCACTTGCAGCCAAGGCTGAGGACCCGAGTTTAACCTTTAGTATTCACATGGTGGAGGAAGAGAACTGGTTCATTCAAGTAGTTCACCGCTCTCGCTTTGCGGGCGCCTCCACCCCAACAAAAATTATATATAACGGTAAATTTAAAACAACGGCCAGGAAAGGTGTAGCATCCATTGATGCCTATAATTCCATCCCCAAAGAGGCATGTGAGTTTTAAACTAGACTGAACTACTTAGTGAGAATGTCTTGAGAGAGAGAGTGAGAAAGAGAGAGAGGCCTTCCAAACCCCAAACCAAATTGAAAGCCTGTGATATGCTCAAATTGTAACTCCAAAGAAAAAGGTCTTTTCCTTGTGACATGGCAGAAAGAGCCTCTGTCATCAGACATCATTCTGTCTGGCTAATCTGGGCTGTGCACTTGAGACACCTGCAGAGAGGGACCTCAGCTGAGGAACTGCCTGGATCAGATGGGCCTGTCCATGGGACACTGTTGATTGTTAATTGATGGGGGAGGGCCTAGTCCACTGTGAGTGGTGCTATCCCTAGGCAGATGAACACGAGCCAGACAGCAGGCCAGTAAGCAGTACCCTCACTGGTTTTCTCTTCCGATTGCTGCCTTGACTTCCTATAAGCTACTAAAGTCCCTTTCTCAACAAGCTTCTCTTGGTCAGAATGGTTTATTACAGCAACACAGATGCCAGGCAGCCAGGGGTAGGAGGCCAAGAAAAACCTTGACCATTATTGCTCCTGTGACCTTGACCAACTACAAGGTTTCCTGGGACTCGTAATCCTTCAGAGGAGAGTATTTTGTACCAAACCAAGTGTGGGAAAGCTTCCAGGCATGTGCAGCCTGTGGTCTGCAGGCAGATGCAACTAACTAAGGCTAACTGTGAAGACAGCCCAACATGAAATCACAAACTGACAAAGTACACAGGCTGACAAGGGGCAAGGTAGCTCTGTGGGCAAGTGAATGCTGTGCAAGCCTGTCAGGCCAAGATGGGGTCATCCAGGAGGACGGACGCGACTCTTGAAAGTTGTTCTCCGACCTCTGAGCACGCACCTGGCAAGCTATCCATATACCTCCCCATACTATTCCTATTAAATAATAATAATAATATAATACAAAATTAAAGGCCTGCACACGTAGCCAATATCTGCCATGCGTGGATGCGATTAGAGTCGGTGGTAGACACAGGAACAAAAGAAGGGGGCGAGAATTATCACGGAGATCTAACACCAGGGCTGGAAACTTCCTAGGTGCCAACACAACACGGCAGTGGCCAGACGGATGCTTTTGTTTGGGGTTATATCTGGTTGCAGACTAGAGAAAGCAAATCCATCACAACAAAGACGCATCGGCAAACATGCAAAATGCACCTCACCTAGCAACTGGAAAGGAGGCAAAGATGGGAAGGGGCAGGCAGTGGACACAGGAGGACGGTGCTCAGCTTCACCTCCAGTGAAGGGAATTCTAAGTAGAGGTGAGATAGCAGCTCCACCAGCAGATTCGAGGCTTCGAGGCAGACTGTGCCCAGTGTAAGTGCAGGTGTAGGAAAATGTGTGTTCTCGTGTGTTAGCAAGACTGTAAACAGATCTAACCTTTTTTGCTTATTGGGAAGAAAACATGGGAGATAAGTATTCAAAACGGAAGATGGACATACCCATGGAACTCACAATATGGCCTCGAGAAACTTATGGAAAAGATCAACGTACAGCATATATGCATACACCAAGGTACTCTACAAGAAGATTCAGTATGGAATTACAAAAGCAAGGGGAAAAACATCGTCTGTCAAGGCAGGGTAACTGAATAAATCATTACATATCTGAATGTTAGGCTATGTTATCAATCATTCACTCATCCAACAACTACTTACTGGGCATTTCTAGAAGGTGCCAAGCTGGGTTCTGAGGGCTGGGGATACATTATGGAGCTCCCAGTACAATGGGGAACAGACATTTTTTTAAAAGTACATCAAAGGATCAGTGCAATTAGGGCTGGAGAGATGGCTCACCCAGATGGCAGGTCCTCCAGAGGACCTGAGGCTGACTCCCTCCCGGCATCCACATGGAGGTTCACAACAATCTAACTCCAGTCCCGTGAGATCTGACAGTCTCCTCTGGCACCGGGAATACATGTGGTCATTATCAACAGGGAAGGAAGACAGGCAGTGACTGGAGAGCGGGTTTGGGAGGCAGTAGCTCAGGGAAGCGTACGAGATGGCATCTGAGTAAGGACTACAGGGAGCTGGCTATCAAGAGATCCAGGAGACTGTTGAGGTAGAGGGAGAAAGCCCCATGTGGCCCCATACAGACTTCAGTTACATTCACGATTTAAGGACAAAGGAGCATGGATGCTCGCGTGTGCGTAAATGCTATCTTGTAGGAACAAGTCCATAGATGGGACATCGTCACCATCATCATCATTATCACTATTGTGTGTGGACAGTTGTGGAGTCAGCTCTCTCCTCTATCTTTACGTGGATTCCAGGGATCGAACGCCATCCACTTTCATGGCAATGCCTTACCCACTGAGACATGCATGGCACCAGCCTGCCATTTAATTTTTGCTTTATCTTGAATTCTTCCCTCCTAATATCTGAAGGAAAATTATCATGAACAAGTGTTTTCGTATGAAACCAACTTATTCAGAAAGTAGACACCCAATAAAACAGATGGATGCATTAAGGATCCTTATCTCATATTTTCCAAAGTTAATGTTCAAAGAGGCGCTAAGCAGGAGACCCCTTCTTTGGCCTATAAGCCCCTGTCCTAGTAAATGCCTTCAGTACAGGTGACTTCAGAACAGTACAGCTCATTTGCTGAAAGAGGATTTGTGTCAGAGGGTGCTCATACAACACAGCAGGCAGGAACTGCTTGGCTATACTAAGTCCCCTTCTGTGCAGCCTTCTGATGCCCATAAAAAGCTGTGAAGGAATCCCTGGCCTGGCTTATTGTCTGTGCTCATCGTGAAAGTATGTACTGATCCCACATGCTCAGAATCTTTCTTCTATACTGGGGTCTGCAAAAGGCAACACATTCCTTCGGCTGGAAAACTACTACCAAGCCCGGAGATATGCCTGAGATCATCAGGATACCTAAACTGGTCTGGGAGGAAGGACAGGCGCACCTTTTAAATCCTCAACTAAAGCATCCACCAAAGATCCAGAACAAGATTCTTACGGCGGTGGGGGTGAGGTAGATGTCTGCCTGCCCCCTCCCCCTCTCCCCAAGCTGTAGTGACTGGTAGAGGGAGCCGCCTGATGAACGCTGGCAGGAACACACCAAGACCAAGGGAAAACCAGTTTGAGAGCTGAGAGTCACTGGGCTGGAACTTCCCTTCCGCCCACGTCAGTTCACAGACTCAGGGTCAAGCTCTGGAAAGCAGAGGCCAGGACAAGAGGGTGGCTACAACCGATGCTTCAGTCCTAGTCCACTCAGTGCAGGCCCAAATTATAAATCCCAAACCCAACAAATCAAGTAAATGAAATGCAACCCCCACCCCATCCATAACCCTGCCCCAGGCCTAGCTCACTGCGTACAGGAGCAGATACCCCACCCCATGTTAGCCTCCCCACAAACGCTAATATTGGTCATTTAGGGTAACACTGGGTCATAGTAAAAAAAAAAAAAAGGAAAAACCAATTTCTTAAGCATCCATCAGTATCACTTTGTTGATGCTGCTGGTGCTGGGGACCAAACCCAGGGTGTCCCGCCTGCTAGATAAGCTCTGTGCCACTGAGCTGTATCCGCAGCTCTCCGTGGACTCTCAACAGCGTTAATACATCCAATTCTATTTCTTAGGGGCCAGCTGTTACAGTTAACCCTCTCTCGGACCATTAGCTCTTCTTTTTCACAAGATCTTTTATTTATGGGGGGGGGGACCAAACCCATGCACTAGAATTTCCCATCTTAAAATGTAGAGAAGCACAGGCACACTTCTCGTCTGCCGTCTGCACTCAGCAGCCTCCGTATTACTCTACTTTGTATCTTACCCAAGTTTCTACAAAGAGCTGTCAAGCATACCTTTAATCCTAGCTCGTAGGGGCAGGACAATCTGTGAGTCAACCCGGTCTACATAGTGAGTTCCAAGACAGCCAGGGTTATGTGGGGAGACTCTGTCTCAACAAAATTAAAACAATCAAACAAAAACCCAAACCCCCAAACCAAAACCAAAACCAACCTGTCTACACCAGGACTTGGCAAAGTAAAACTAATGGGTCAAATCCAGCAGCTAGTTATCTCTTCTTATAAACAAAGGAAACAACCAGGAAAACTCCAGACACTGGGGTTAGAGACAGACAGACAGACAGACAGAGAGAGAGAGAGAGAGGGAGGGAGGAAGGGAGGGAGGGAGGGAGGGGTTCTGCTGTCACCCAGTGGGCACAAGCCAGGGGGGGATACTGCTAACCTTTAACACCCAGATCAGTCACAGAGCTAGGAAGCATTCCCTGCTGTGTCAGAAACAGTGCTGAGGACACTGATAAACCCAGTGTCAGGACTGATGCACTGATAAGAAACGCAGTGTGATGACCGATGTGTGTATGTCTGTCTGTGAGGACACACGCGGAACTGGTTAGAGCTGGCGTCTCTTGTGCAGAGAGGGATGGAAGGGGAGATTTACTATGATCTCAAGAGACCGTCTTCTGTAGAACCCATGTTCTAGAACGAAGCCTGAAATAGGAGGTGTCACTACAAATGGAAACCCAAGCTCATTCTTAACCCTGAGTTTGCTTCTTTGCAAAACAGAACTGGAGGGCGGTGTGCCTGCTTAGTGCACACCACCCCATGGGAGATCAAGGAGACGATGCCGGGAATCCCTCCTGAGCCCCTGCTCAGCCACAGGAAACTCCGTAGCTTCTGCTGCACTAAACTTCAGACTAGAATTGACAAGTAAGACCTTTCCTATCACCCCCTACCTCAGCCACACAGCGTCCTTGTCACCGGGGGGCTGCAGATGTCATTCTCTGGCGACAGCCTTGAGACCTTGTATTTACGCTGCCTACTCAACTGTGATGAACACACAGTTCAGGAAACGTCTTACTGTGATAAGTCAGACAGCTAGTGGCCCATAGTAATCCGGTGATTATGTGACTACAGAGAAGCTACTAAGAAGGAAACCTCTTTCCTACACCATTCAATAGGCTTCAGGATGAGTACAGGACTCCGGGCAGGATGAGTACAGCAACGGTCCCGTGATCGGCAAAGAAACCGCCAATGCTACCTGCTAGCGCTTGTGTCTAACAGCAGCGACCTGTGGGCACAGGCCGAGGAGTAAGCCTCCTACTCGGGAAATTCCTGAGTCAAACAAGGCTACCATCAGTCTTGTGCCTTTGAACGGCAACTCACATGTAAAAAACTACCTGGTGGGACCCTGACTGATGGCTGACATTGTCAAGTTCCCTACTGTTGGCAGCCATGAGGACCACAGGCGAGCACAGGGTAGACTCAGCGCTGTCAGTCACAGGAGGGGAAAAGAGACCTGTGGGTGTCTTACGTGATGTACTTGTTGTAGAGGATAAAGGCGTGTTCAATATTGCCTTCTTCGGAGTAAACGGACGCCATGCGGATGATCTCAACCCCAGAACGAAAGTAACGGCGGGGTGGAATGTCTTCATTTAACTCAACTGCACTCCCAAGTTGGGACAGAATCCTCACCCGGTCTTGGGGTGGGAGGCTCACATCCCCATGGTCAGACATTGGACCAATAAGTCCTGGGAGAGAAAAGAGATAACGTCAAAGCCAGGGTCATATCTTCCCAGTGGTCTAGCACAGGATGAGTTATAGAAAGAGCCTGACATGGTTGTGTACACCTTTAATCCCAGCACTTGAGGAACAGAGGCAGGCAGATCTCAGAGTTCAAGGCCAGTCTAGTCTATACAGCGAGTTCTAGAACAGCCAAGGCTACACAGAGAGACCCTGTCTCAAAACAAACACAAACTAGAGAAAAATAAAAAACTATGCTCGGTGGTTCTGATCAGTAAGTTATCCCTCCTACCCCCTAAAACACCCAAATCCTGATTTGAGGACTGACAGGCAAAAAAGAAAAAATAAAGAAAATCAGCCCTTGCCCCACGATTTGCTAGCACGAGGAGTTCGGCCAGGAATAGACCAGTGAGGGTTGGGTCTCCTGTTTGCTTTTCAGTCTTCTTCAGTGGGAGGCCACCTAGAGGGCTGCAGAGGTAAGAAGCATCGGCCATTTATTCCTTGTTCCTCCTTTAGCCAGACACCTACCGCTCTGTTCATTCATGCTGCCCATTTCATATCGCTGGCGAATAGGAGATATTTACCACGGTACACCTCCTCGGTTTTGGATACAAGGTCAGAGTGTGTGTGGCAGGGAGGGGGACTTCCTTCTGGGGCAAATGTTCATAACGATGCTCACTAAAGCACGCTCTGATTCGGTCCACCGCATTCACCATTTTCTAGGCCAAATAGCTCGCAGAAACCTCAATGTGTACTTGTCCCCACAAGGCAAGCAAAGTGGCAGTTATGTCAGATGGGGTGGGGCCCTCTAGGGGTTCCTGATCATTGGAATCCAAACTCTAGTGAGTCTGCATTTCTTTCTAGGCTCAGGCTCTGGGCTCCAGGGCACCATCATTCCACATAACTCAGAATGGAATGGAGGTGGTTGTGTGTAAGATCACAGAACACCCCAGCCAGCCCTACTCTGGAACACGGTAGCCTTGTTTTTTCCCATCTTTGTACCTTAGCCCTCGGCCAGGATTCCCACCTGCTCAGAACCGCAGGTTAGTCTCGTTTGCTTTTCTGAATTCTGCTCAGCTGTCCTCAGATGTGGTTTTCTCTAGGCCAATTCTACTTTAGCGTCCTTCAACCTTTGGGTGGTACCTCTTCCCCACTAAACCTCCCTCCTCCTTTCCTAGCAACATGTGGGCGCTGATAGGAATGTGGTGGCGTTGGGAGTGTAACACATCTCCTCCTGCGAGTGTGAAACCCGCCCCTGTCCCTAACTGCTGAACCGGGCACTGCCGGGCATCTCGGCACCTCTTGGGGGGAGGCACGTGGGGGGGATAGAGAAGGGACCCTCCTCCGGAAGCTACCGAGTGGCTTGGGTCAACATGGGGTTCGGCAACCATGCTGAGGAAAGACGGTGCTCGGGATGGGGGGGAGGGGGGAGGAGACAGGAACGGGGCAGGAGCAGAGGGGCGTGTGCATCCGAGAGGGATCCAGCTGTTAACAGCTGGCAGTGCCCTTCCAGGAGGCACTCAGTCAGGTTTCTCAGAAATGCAAGGAGTGTGGAGACCGGGCCTGGCTGGTCAGGAGCCAGCCCCGGGGACAGGGCCATCCGCAAGCCCGCGCGCGGCGGGCCAGGGCCAGGGATGCGGGCCCCACACGCATGGCTTTCTCCCCGCGGGGTCCCACGGCGCCCGCTTCCCCCGTCCCGCAGCGTTCCCGGGACCCTTCCCACCTTTCGTGAAGGATGACAGTCGGGGCTTCCGGAAACGTCACCTCCGATGACACGCCCACCCCTCGCCACTCCTTCAATTACACTCCAAGGATTTGAGACCTGGCGTGGAGAACGGGTGGGTGGGGCTGCAATCTTCCACCAATGAGGACCAGCTCTGCCGCTGAGCTCTCTGCAAAGGGAGAAGAACCAGGAAGAAGAGAGAACCAGGGAACGGAACTGAGGGCCGATCCCGTGTGTTTAGGGAATTATTCCGAAGCTGCAGTTTCCTGCCGATGCCTCCGCCATCGGAGTGGGAGCAGTTGCACATTTCATGGGGGAATTGCTGTCTAGCCTGACATTTACGGCTCTTTGAACAAAACTTCACCGAGTACCCATCCAAGCAGCCTCCCAGCCACCCTCTGTCACTAGAGTCTGCTTTTGTTTTAACTTACATTCATTTTTACCGTGTGCTTGCGTGTGTTCGCGCGCACCGGTGGGCGGGAGCGTGCTGCAAGGGATAGTGATCACGACAGCTTGTGGGACAGTTTCTTTCATACCTTATGGGTCCTAGGGGCTTAACCCGGGTCATCAGGCCTCTCTACCCTCTGTCCCATCTCACCAGCCCGAGTTAGTCCTGTTGTAATTCTCTTCACAGTCCCCTCCACCGTGGGATTCTCCTAAAATACGATTTCTTGAAGGAAAGGAGATTTTATGACTTACGCCTCTATGCCCAGTGTTCACAACGGCCTGTGGTCCCAAACTCGATACATATTCTTGGATGTGCAGGTGTTACTGAGATAAAGATTGCAGGGATGGACTAATGAATTGTGAAAGTGGAGACGCCACGCCGATCATGAGACAATCAGGACTCAGAGCAGAAGGCAGTGGGATGGGGCGCCCTTGTTAGGTTGTAAGTGCCTGCAGGAGACAAGTTCCTGCTGTGAAAGCCTTCAGGCAGGGACTAGGACTGAGAAGCAGCCGCGGGAAGCGCGCTGGTGTGTGCTGTGAGCTCCCCGCACCACGGCACGGCACAAGCCTGTCTCAGGCTTTGCTGAGGGCGAGCGTGCTCGTGAGGAGACGTGTGATGATTCTAAAGACAAACTGACCGCAGTATCGACCTCTTTGTTGTGAGCCCACTGGGACCCTAAGGGACAAAAAGGTGAACCGTGATGTGGCTCTACAGGTTCAAGCACAGCAAAGGGCAGCAAGGTGTTGAATTTGTGCACTGTTGTTGCAGACAGTAATGCCTGGTGCTTTTCTCCAGCTATGGAGCACACCTCCAATAGCTGGCTCGAGCCTCCCAGGGCACAGCTCTTAGCAACACTGAGATGGGCTCGTGGCTCTGAGCTCCATTTTCTCCCAAGGCAGGCCTTTCCTGCCACCGAGAACAAATTAGTTAGGAAATTAAGTTCTTGCACTCAACCGAGAACAAATTAGTTAGGAAATTAAGTTCTTGCACTCATTGGGAAGTTCTTCAACGTGTGTTTGTCTTGTTGAAATGGATGCTTAAACCAGATATGATGGTGGAAGCCTGCAAGACAGACTTGACAGTCCCTCTCTCCCCAGAAAGACAGACATGGCAGTCCCTCTCTCCACAGACAGACAGACAGACATGGCAGTCCCTCTCTCCACAGACAGACAGACATGGCAGTCCCTCTCTCCACAGACAGACAGACAGACAGACAGACAGACATGGCAGTCCCTCTCTCCCCAGGCTTTTAAGTGAGGGAGCTGGTTCAGTATTTAAATGTTCTCTAATAAAGGGACTTATCAATCACATAACATTCTCCCTGTTCTATCACATGGACAGAATCTGTTCCTGGGGAGAAAAGACCTCTAGATTGAATTAATCTGGTCCCTGTACTGCTGGGAGCTTTCAAGAACCAAACAATGGGGTTAAAGTTTTTTTTTTTTTTAAAGCTTGGGTCAGGAGTTTGGTGAAGTCCATTGGGTGCCTCTCTGGATGATGTGGTCTAAACTTCTTACATTTCACTTAACAATGCGTTCTTTGTGCTGGGCTAGGTCAGGCTGGGCATAGATCTATTCTCTTCCTCTTTCCTTCCTTTATTGTGGGAAATATTTGTTGGGAAAGCCTTTGTTCCACATTCTTAAACTCATGGATGTCACTCTTTCCAGTATCAAGATGCTCTGAAAATGTTCTCTGCCCACTAGAAGCAAGCAGCAAAGAGCCAGAAGCAGCCGACTGCAAGCTTTCCTTCTATTGGGTGGAATTCTGCCTGTACTCTGCAGGGTTTTTTGTTTTGTTTTGTTTTGTTTTAGTTTTGGTTTCTTGTTTGTTTGTTTGTTTTGTTTTTATTCCCTAGGCATTTGGGTCTTTCATGCTTTTCAAGCATCAAAGATACAAGATACTTTCCTTGTCCTTTTTTTTTTTTTTTTTTTTTTTTTTTTTTTTGACACACGGTCTTTGTAGCCCACTCTGGTCTGGAACTCACCAGGTAGCCTGAGCAGGCCTAAAATGCATGAGAGATTCTCCTGCATCAGTCTCAGAAGTGCTAGGACCACAGGTCTGAGTCACCTGCCCAGCTCCATTCTCTCTCTTTCAGTGGGTGAAGCTGGTGTGGCAGTTATAACTGACTTAACTTCTGCTTGCAAACTGCCAGTATAGAATCTTGACTCTCCAGCATTCTGTACCGACCTTGGGTGCAGGACCAGGCAAAAAAACGGAAAAGTTGGAGAGAGAAGACCAAGTGAAGGCCAGGTAAAGTACAGGTCCAGAAAATAAAAGGGGATTTGTGTAGATGTTTTGTTGTTTTACTGTGGGAAAGGAGCCAACACAACTTGCCTCCTTTTGTATTTTCAGAACTGGCAATTTGATGTTTTATATATCAGGAGAGTCCAGAAATGGTTGTGAAATCTGCACACTGAAGAGAGAATCTTAACCATGTTTTCTCATGTCATGTCTCCCATGAGCATGCGTGTAGGTGGTAAGTCACTTTTCATTGTTCACAAAGATATTTATTTACACATAATTCATATTTAGTAACCTAAAAAAAAACAACAAAGATACTGCCTTATCTCAACTGTATCCTCTTAATCGACTTAACCCATTTAACTGTATCCTTAGATAATTTTTTTGAAGTGGTAGATATTGAAGCCCGGACCTCATGCACAGCAGCTCAACAAAAATCTTCTTTTTTTCTTTTGTTTTGAGACAGGGTTTCTCTGGGTAACGCTGGCCATCCTGGAACTTACTGTGTTGACCAAGCTGGCCTCCATCTCAGAGATTTGATGGCCTCTGCCTTCTAAGTGCTGGGGTTAAAGGCGTGCACCACCATACCCGGACAACAAAAACTTACTCACATAAAAATAATTTCATCTTGAGTAGTGCTGGGTAAAGCACTTTAAGAGGAATGTCTGTTCCGCAGAAAACCTGGATTGCCTTTACTCTTCACTTAACCAGATTCTTTCGTGGTTACAAACACCACAGGGGGTAACTGAAAGGCTTAGAGTTACAGATGTTTCAGAGCACCATTGTGTGTCCCCTCCCCCCACTTTGGAGCAGTGGTGAGGCAGAGGGCATCAAGGGGGGGGGGGAGGAGACTAATGTAGAGCGACTGGAAGGGGCAGGACTAAGATCCAAGCTTTCGGATCTCTGTGAGTTCGAGGCCAGCCTGGTTCTACAGAGCGAGTTCCAGGACAGGCTCCAAAAACCACAGAGAAACCGTGCCTCAAAAAAATCCAAAATAAATAAATAAATAAAGTAAAAATCCAAGCTTTAAAGCTTGCAGCACAGCATCTTTAACAAGATCCTGCTTTCTGGTGTGCCGCCACACTTTGACCTTGCCATGAGGTCAGCACACTGATTAGGTCAGAGTCCTCTTGTGTCCATTGTTCTAAAGCTTTGGATTTTTAAAGGCTGTTTTCTGCCCATGTTTTACTACATGTATGCTTTCCTATTCATGTTCTATTACTATTTTTTAAGGAAAGCAACATGGTGAGGCATACTGCATGCTTTCTCATGAGGAGATTTCAAAGCAGCATGAACCGGCTTGATCTGGTGGACTTCATGGGGAACACTAAAGAACGGCACTTGAGAAATTCAGTATGGGGCTGGGGGGATAGCTCAGCCCTTAAAGGCTAGGCTCCCAATCAAAACCATAAGAGAAACGCGGTACGGCAAGTTACACCATGCCTCATGTGCAAGGTCAGGTATTTGCGGCCCAGCTTACCGTGAGCTCTGTTTGCTTTTAAGTCACTGATTAGTGCTTCTGTTGTGACTTACACGTGATTTTCACTAGCTTCTTGTGTCAGTGCTAAAGTGAGTCAGGGCTGAATTGCTAACGATTGCCTACTTGAGTGTTAGTGGTAGGAAATCTATGGGTACAATCTATATCTGAACTACTGAGTTTTTAGAGATGCCTGGGTGAATCTAAGAACTTTAGTATGAATGAGCAGGTAATATGTGACATCAGATTCCAAGGCCACAAGCGATGGGGGCATGGGATGGGCAGACACTGAAATATACACACACACACACACACACACACACACACACACACACACTTATACTTGGATATATATATGTTTGTTTCTTGAAATGGAAGATTTGGGAGTGTGCAATCCGGCTTTAAATATGTGAAGTTTTCAAGGTTTTGTTTTCTTTTTAGTTCAATGTCATATTTCATAAAACCCCTTCCCATGATGCTCCCTCCTCTGGGCTCTGTGAAAGGTCTTGGGTTTGGGGCTGCAATTCCCACATTCGCCACCAGAGGGTCTTCTCTAGCTACTGCCAATCCATAGAGCAAACAGACGCAGAACACTGGCTAAAGCGGAGCCGCACCCATCCCTCTTCTCCTGCACAGCCCCAGGAGGTAAATTGAGGCAAAGGTGGTTTCTAAACCAGAGAACGTAGGTTCTGCTACTGTCCAGACAGATGGAGAGGGAGGGCCCAGCGGGAGGGTGCAGAAGGCTGTCAGAGCTGGGAAAGTCATTGCTGAGGGCGTGACCCTGAGGGCTGACCCAGTTCAGGCGACCATTTTAGAGGTGTGATGTGAGACGCATATGAACAACCCGAGGAGGGCCTTGATCTCTAACCCAGAGATCTGTAGGGAAGACTGTGGGACAGGCAGGACTTTGGGGAGGCTGGGAAGGCGACAGAGAGCTGAGGAGAAGGCGCAGTCCGCAAAGTGCTCGACCTCAGGAGCCTGGAGAC